TAGAATTTACATTCCCCACGTTCAAATACCAATACTGAACTATGTTTGTTAGACACCTGTGATAATTGCTGCTGCTAAGTATTTTTCAGGAAAACTTGTCTCATGCCTCTTCCTTACTTGTAAAGCAAGTTAAAGTAAGTAAACTTACTTGCAAAGTAAGTTATTCCAGCTTGCAAAAACAAACAAACAAAAAAAGTTAAAAACCCTATTCAAATACCAACATTCTGTTGGAACAAAAGTTATCATTTTGATAAATAGGTATCACACAATGGGTTGAGAACAGCTGCTGGTACTTCCAGTAAGTAATTTCTGTGGAATAAACCCCCATTATTTAGAACCTTCTTAGAATTTCAGTCAACTGCTGTGGTTTGCTACACCTGTGGGAGTGAGGACACCAGAGAGGACAGAGTTCTGTAGGAAATAATGAAACTTCAACTATTGTGCAAAACCCAGATTAACTGCCAGTACTTCCATCCAGACTTACTGGGAACAGAAATCCTCACGGTGAAATGTAGATTGAAACACTCATGGTAAGTGTTCTTAGGGAGGAAGACTGGATAATCCTTGAAGAATTCTGTGATGTAGCGAAAAGAAAATGGCAGTGGGAGAGCAGCAGGCAGGGTGTGCAAAGCCTCTGAGACAGCAGGGTGTGTTTTTCAGCCAGGAAACAGTGGCTCCATCTCTACAAATACAGCTGGCAGGATTGCCCCTGCTATTTAAAGCCTCCACCACTCCAGTTTTATAATGTGATCACAGGAATTCTGAAGTTTAATGAAAGCACTAAAATTCCCAATTGCATTTTTAGAAAAGCCCTGTTTAAAACTGTCAGCAAATGCAATATGTACTTCAGAAATGACACATCTAGCACGCTTGGGACTGAAAGGTGATTGGAATGACTCCTTTTTTCTCCATTCCTTCAGAAGCAAAGGATACTCCTGACAAGCTGGGAATAGTGTGAAACAAAGAACCTACCTTTGCCCAAAGATCTCCAGAATGTAACTGCAGAGCATTTTTAATGTAATAAAAGAACTGCCTGATTTAATTTAGCTTTTTACATTCCTAATCTTAATACCATGTGCTCACTTCTAAGCCCCTGGAGAAGAGTGACTTCCAAAAGGAGAATGGTAATTGACAGAAATCCATATTCATCAACATTTTCAATATTCCTAAGGACTAAATTTAGCGAAGTAGCCAAGAGAATAATGGTTTTGAGAACGTATGTATTGCTAAAGAGAAAATACCTTTTACATTCATTTTAATTAGGCAAGGTCCTGCTAGGGAAGCAACAAAGAATTATTGTTGGTTGAGGATTTAAGAGCATAAAGCAAGATCTGTAGGGAAAAGGCATCTACATCAGCTTACCTAAAATAAATGAGTTCCTGCATCCTTAAGAAAGGTTAGTGTGGTCTTTAAAAAAACCTCAAAACCAAACAACAAAACCCTACCCTTTTTTCTCACTACATCAGCTGGTCTAAGTAAAAACACTATTTCTGCCTATGAATTATGCATGGATAAGAAAAAACAGAAGGCAGACATAAAGAAAAGGCAGGACTCTTCTTGGCTTGTACTTTTCATGTTTTAAGACAAAGTACCTTTAAACATTTATTTTTTATTAACTTTAAGATAACTGCAGTCTCAAAATACTATTTATTAATGTGCAGTCTTCTGTTAGTATGCTTAAAACTCAAAAAATAAATAATTTTTGTTTACATTAAAGTCAGTCAAGACCTGGATTAGGAGTGGGTATGAACAGTGAAATATACTCTGTAGACCAGCTTTTACTTGAAAAAAAGAGATGAAAAAAGATTCTCCAACAACCATTTCACGTGGATGTAAAGGCTGATATTTGCAAACACAGCAGGTCTACTTATGGCCCCATGGAAATGTGCTCTAGAGAAATGCACCTTCAGGAACACCAATGCACAAGGACAAACCTGGGCTGCCCTAGTTCAGGGAGTAAAGCACTTACATAAATTGTTCTTTTCTTGGTATTTTTTTTTCTTTTAAAGCAAACACTTTCAATCTAATTGTGCATGTGCTTTAGAGCTTTACAACTCTACTGGCACAATCTCTTCCAAGACTGAATCATTTTAAAACATAAAAGAAAGCAGCAAACAAATATTAAGGCGACAAAATGTGCCACTGGGGACCATTATATAGGTTTTTATATAAAGATATATATATATATAAAAATTATATATGCAAACATAACAATTACGTATGTGCAGTATACATATCTGTAAGTATTACTTTACCTCACTTACTACATAATCAGCAGGAGCTCTGAAGATGCTGACAACACACTGTCACACCTTCCATCTTCTTTACAACAAGTTTTTAGCGCTTGTGAGACACCAGGTAAGTTCTGAAACCTCAGTGATGATTATGTCTAACATATGATTAGTCACTATGGAATGATCAAACATATATATGTATTCTGAAACACACAGAATCTTTCCAATCCAAATACTGTGCATTTCCTCAAGCACGTTAAAAGCTGGAAGAAAAATGAACTAAAAAAATAAGGAACTTTTGATAGCATCTTGAAGGTCAGTTCCTTATGTCCCATATACTAGTGGGCAGCTGGAGGTAACTAAAAATTACATCCCTAGGATTTCTGGTTCTTCAGTTTGTCCTTTGGCAAAACAGGGGAATTCAGTATCCTGATATCACAGGAAGAGTCAGGCTTGAAGAAATGTCAGAAGTCTCTTGTTCAACCTGCTGCTCAAAGCTATGTGGTCAGACTAGGTTACTCAGGGGTTTATCCAGGTTTATTTTGAAAACCTCCAGGGTCAGAGGCTGCACAAAAAAACCCTGAACGTGAGATCATCTCTGTAGTGAAAGTGGTCTTTTAAATGTATTTTCCAATGGACCAGAAAAGGAAATAAATTAAAATATTTTCCTTTTTCAGAACTTTTTACTGTAGTATCTATTTTTATAATGGCAACATACTTGGAACATCAAAAGAGTCTGAACTCATTTGAACTTCTGGGCATACCCATTAAACTTGTACTTAAGTGGGAAATTACTTACCTAAGAATACTACCTATACATCAATCTGTGCTATGTATCTCCAGATTAAAAAAAAGTGAAAATTATCTTTTCAAAGAAAAATGTTTTACTCTGTGCTCCATCTTGGGACAAGTTTCTCCTACAGAAAGTTGGGAGTGGGGTGGAATATCAGCTCTTCCTTCAATTCAAAGATGACTCTCAGGTTTTTTTAATCCCTCAGTGTAGTGATTATTTATAAAACCAGAAAGAATCTCCACCTTTCATGAAAAATAGATCTCAAGGTCTTGCGTTAAGCAAGAAAGAACGTTAAAGTCTTGCTGTGCAAATTCTGAGGATGGTAAATGCTTATCAGAGCTACTCCTTCCTTAGATCTCAACACAGAGAGAAAAATAAAGCAGAATAGGGTTATCTTGGAGAAGACAGAAGTCAGCTATAAAGAAAAGTTCGAACATAAAAGTATTGTATAATTATTTAGACTTGATTTCCCCAGCATACACTATTGATAATAGACTGGATGCTGAGCTATGTTTTCAATTTATTCTACTCTTTGAGAACTAGAATAGTTACAGTTATTACAGTAGCATTATAGTTACTAATTTATAAGGTATTATGACTCTCTTTAGAGGGAGGGTTTTTTGAAGTCATGGAAGTTTAAAATGTAAGACTTTAATATAACATGTAAAATATTTTCATGCTCTATCACTCTAAATGAAAAGGCAAAGAAAAAAACCTGTTGTACGTATGGTAGAAAATACACCTCTGTCAGCACACACCAGCAGCTGGACTTGTTTTTTACTAAAAGTTATTTTTCTTCCCAATTTTAGCAGCTAAGGTAACATATTCCCCAGCTTTTCTGAATGAAAGCTTTAAGTTTACTCTCTGAGATTGTGGTGACTTGGTAGAAGCACATATTGGAGTGCTGTTATGGTTAATTTTCAGTGTCTCAGCTCAGGCTCACATTTATACAGCCATGGTAAGTTCCCTTTAAAAGATAAGTGGTGAACAAAAAGGTTCATACAAAATATCTATGAATGGTCAAAACCAGATGAAGATTATCTTTTATCTTCAATATGTGTAAAATACTTGCAGTTCTTGCCTTGTCTAAGCCAGAAAAATAACCTGCAGTGATATAAGCACTTCTCTACGTGGCTGTAGTTACATCTGGAATTGCTCTACCTACCTACATATCTCTACTGGGGCAAAATCAATGTATACGCACTATGAGAAATATTGCATTTTAAAAATATTGTATTTAAAAAAAATACGTAACTAACCCGTTCATTAAACTGTTCAACACAATCCAGAACTGGGCAGCTTGTGCAGTGTATCAAAATAATGGCTTGCAGAACTACAAATATCAGATGCTTCCGCTGAGATAACAATTACAAATAGTAATCCAGGCTGTCTGGGATGGCGGGAATGTTAAACTTAGTCTATAAGATAAACTTTCTATAAGATAAAATATTTAGAGAAGTTGTAGCTTTCTCCTGTATAGTTATACTTGTCATGCTTACAGATGTGCTTCTGCCAAGCTAAGCCATTTAACAGCCCAGACACTTTTCAATTAAAACAAAACCCCACCCTGTCAAAATCCTTCCTACTATAAAACATGAATATACAAAACTTCCAGCGAGGTTACTTTACCTGCAAGACACGTGTATACTTTCAGCAGCAAAATCAAAATGTCTTCCCTTGAGAAGTATTTTGTTTTCAACAAAGAGGCTTTATCTGCACGTAGCAGAACTAAATGACAAGTTGTATTTTCACTGTGAGAGGAGGATCAGTCACTTGGAAAGTTCTGCCACTGAACTTTGAGCACATGCTTGCCTGCTTACTCTACCCAAGTGCTTTCTGCAGAAGCATGCAACACGTTTGCTTTCATTATATTCCCAAGTGAAGTAATCCAGAGCTGGCCTTAGGTCTCAGGAGCAACTTTAAGATACTTCAGCTTTAGAGCTGTTAAACTGACAAAACTTAAAAGAAAAAAAAATTCACATTACTTCTTAGGGACTACTAAACAACATAACGGAGCTTCTATTGGGTGGCAGAAACAGCTTTCTCCTGTTACACTAAGAATGGTGGCATCATTCCCTTAATAAAATAGCACTGACTTGGGCAACCACCAACCACATGAGGATTAACAAGGGAATTAACAAGGGATTCTGCCCCTGGGATGGGGCAGCCCCAGATGTACAGACAGACTGGGAATGAGAGGCTGGAAAGCAGTGCTGGGAAAGGGTCCTGGGGGTCCTGGTGGGTGCCAGTTGGCCACGAGTCAGCAGTGCCCTGGCAGCCAGGAGGGCCAACCCTGTCCTGGGGGCATCAGGCCCAGCATGGTCAGCTGAGTCAGGGAGGGGATTGTGCTGCTCTGCTCTGCCCTGGGGCAGCCTCACCTTGAGTTCTGGGGGCAGTCTGGGGCACCACAATATAAAAAAGACATGAAGCCATCAGAGTGTCCAAAGGAGGGGTCTGGAGGGAAAGCTGTATGAGGAGCAGCTGAGGGCACTTGTCTGTTCAGCCTGGAGGAGACTAAGGAGATACCTCATTGTGATCTTCAACACCCTCATGAGGGGAAGCAAAGGGATCTCTTTACTCTTGTGACCAGTAACAGCACTTGAGGGAATGGCTTGAGCTGAGTCAGGAGAGGTTTAGGTTGGATATCAAGTTTTTCCCCCAGAGGGTGGTTGGGCACTGAACAAGCTCCCCAGGGCAGGGGCCACAGCATCAAGGCTGACAGAGCTCAAGAAGCATTTGGACAATGCTCTCAGGCACATGGTGTGACTTGGCATCTCCTGCACAGGGCCAGGAGTTGGACTTGATCCTGATGGGTCCCTTCCAACTCAGCTTATTCTGTGATTCACTCCGTGCTCATCTTCCAAACAAATAGAGTGTGTTCCTAACTCTACTCCAACACATCAACCTGAGTATCCAAGAATCACAACACAGAACATAAAATTTAAAAGATATAATGGGGACCATTATTACAGACACAGACACTCTTGGCACATTCTACACTGTCCGCTTGTACTCGAGTGTCTCATTCAGTCACAAACCATTCTCTGGTTGCTCCAGCAACTGAGGCTGCTCTGAGTTATCCCCACAACACCCAGAGCATGACTTGTGAGGTCCCATCACACCTCATTGTCATCTCCATGCTCACACTGCCACCAGCTTTTCAAATCCTTATAAGAGCTGTTGTTTTTATTATTTTTTTTCATATTGACACACCTTCCACACTTTCCTTCCATTTCCTATCCTTCTTATTTCCAGACACCTTTCACCCAATTTTTTCAGGATTATTATTTATCCCTTTTCTCCTGGTCTGCTATACAATCCCATTTCAGACATTCCCCAGTTTCAATTTTGACTCTGTGTCTTCCTATAAATGCAATGTGGCATGAGGAGGACCAGCTTTCTCATGAGAAAGTAATGCCAGGCAGGTATGGAAGACTATTTCCTATATGATAAAACTTGTTGTCAAGTATCTCACTACTCAAGTCACAATAGCACCCAGAGTTAAATGTAAAATAACAGGAAATAACTTGAGTATGTGGAATTTAAATGATGCAAAGAAAACACCAAACACTTTGCAAAGTCTGTGCTTACCTAGATGCACAAAAACTTTTAGTACAGTAACTAGAGGATATGAAAAAAGAAAAATAAATTAAAAAGTACTCTGTTCAACCCACACACAAAAGAAAAGTGGTGTTAAGAAGCCTGCAAGGAAAGTTTTTAAGGACTGACATGGATTATTTTCAGCAAGGAGTTGTGTTCTTTGATTTTTTTGTAGACTTCCACCATTTATTCTGAAATGGCTTTATTTTACCTATGGTCTCTTAGGAAATGGTATGTCAGATAAAAGATTCCATTAAAAATATAATTAATAAAGCACACAATTCTGAGTATTTATCCACATAAGACTTTATCAGAGATGAGTTACTAACATAACTGGCAGAAGGGTAAATCCAGATGATTTTTTTTGTTGTTGTTGAGAACCTTTGCTATGACAAATACTGGTGAGAAGATACTAAGAAATCACCATCCTTAATGCACCCAGACTGTCTCCTTTTCAACAACCACACTTGTGCTGAGAAAGGAAGATGGGGACCATCTCAGCAACAGCCAAATGCCTCTGTAGTTCAGGATTTTATCATTAGTACCAATGTTATCCCCTTAAAAAAGTTCTTTTCTTCCTCCACAATTATGAGCAGGGGCTGGGGACAAAGTCACTGCTCCCACAGTGGTAGTCACTGTAGGTGGATCCTGACTCCTGCACAGAGTACTGTGCCATACTATGCTTAATTCCACGTGAAGTCACAATTGATGGTAAGATCCTTACCATTTCTTGTGCCTAACACACATGAAAAGCACAGCCATTCAGAGTGCAGCTGTACCTCAACTGAGTTAGTGGCAACTTATCCCTCCCCCCATCGCCAGCTTGGCTTTAGCAGTGAAGATTCAGGAAGATCAGAGACCTGGAACACCAACTGTGACACTAAAACTCACCGACAAAGAGGAGACTGAACTGGTCAAAAACCAGCATTTCAAAACAGCTCATCTTCTTAAGTTCAAAAATTCCAGGACTTTCCTTCTCTAGATTCATACGGATGGTGCCAGTATGAGCCAGGTCTCATCTTGTCCTTCTAATACTCACACAGGGATGCATCAGTAGAACTAGAAGACCTATTAGAGATACCTGAAATCCTAACAGTACAAAGAAACAACCCTCACACAAAGCTGAAGGTTTAAACAAGAAACACAGTATCAACATACATGTATTTCTGGAATTTGCTGCGTTTTCTCTCCTTGCTAAGACAAGGACAACAAAAGAAAGACCTTAGATAAAGGGAAGAAAGATGGAAACAGCAATATCAGGATTTTTTTTTTCTTTTAAATCATCCAATGTAGAGTTCAATTACATTCCAGGAAAAGGGAAGAGTTTTAGAAGCTACTTGCATCAAGGGTAAGAGCTGGTTACTAATGTATGTTTAAAGCAAGGGACCAAACTGAAGATGTAGTTCCTTTTAACTATGGAACTCACCTACAAATTTAAGTACAGGATTTGCAATTTGACTGAGGAATTGTAAATCAAAAACTCTGAAGAAAGAGATCCTTGACTTTCAGGCAGAGAATACAAACCATACAACAGATTTAGACAGCTGAAGAGACTTCACAGTATGTTATTTGCTAATAAAGATCCAGAAGTGGAGTAGAAGGAAGGAACAAATAAAAAATTCTACCGCTATTTAAGTATGATTAGATGTGCAGACACCTGTGAGCAGGTGAAAAGTCTGTTTACCTGTGACTTCTGCATGTAATACATACGTGTTATTTTGTAGGTGATGGTGTTAGGAATCGCATGTTGTTACAAACTGCAAATTTTAAATCCAGACAGAATGTAATGAAATCTTGATTGTTTTTAATTGTTCAAGTTAGGATAAGAAAAATTTTTGCTAAGTCTACCACGTTGGCTGAAAGATCAGTTAGTGTATTACTCTATTTTAGGGACAGAAAAAACTTATCTACAAAGTCTTGTAAACAGCCTGGGTTACCATCCTTCAGGGAGCTGCGTGGAGTTATCCTCCCCAAAAGACCTATTTAAGGCAGGCAACCTTTGAAATCCTGGGAGCACAGTGCCCATCTACACTTCAGAATAAAAACAGTACAGTCATCTAAAGCATGCATTTCTACTGGATTTTGGGTGACTGAAGGAAGGAGAAGGAAGGACAGTGGAACTGAGAAATTCAAAATGTATTTGAAGCCTCCTAGCTCACGGTATCATGCTGAGAGAAAAATTAAGGAATCATGTGTTTATTAATGATCTACCCAAAATATTCTCAGGGATACACCAGCCCAGACCCAGAGAGTCACTGCCACAAGGAAAAATCAGAAATAACACTAATTTCCCAATAGGAATAAAGGGACATGAAGATTTTACTGCATCCAGTTTTTCACTGGATGTTTTCAGCATTACTCAAAGCCATCAACGTGTATGTTCTTACAGAAATGTTCATGTGATGTCCTGGACTTCACTGCAGCTGTTTACACAAAAGACCTGACAGTGTATTATTGGAAATGCCTTTCAGAGTCACAGATTACTGTAGTGAGAAAACCATGTTGCTATACTACAGCCTGTTTTCCACGTCTTATTTTAACAAGAACGATTTTAACATCAGTGAGGTTCCAGGGAACCTATTTTGGGAAGTGCACCCAAACTGCACTTGCTACCATCAAGATGGTATCATGCCAGAAATTAACACAGGAAAAAGCTTCAAAAGTAGGAGCACAGTACTTCTACTTTAAGAGAACACCAGGCAGGACTTGGGCTGTTGAGAAGCAAGCACTCTGACTCAGTGCAGTTCCTGACACTCAGTGCCGTTTCCCTCACCTTCAAGTTCTTTTAAGATAATTCACTGTAATTATTTAAAGATGGTTCCCAAAGGTAAAGATTTTAACCCTATTTATTTCTTTAGGATATTAAAAATGAGCCTGATAACTCTGCATGTCCTTCTGATAAAATGCCTAAACTCCCCCTCCTGTGTGCTGGAAAGCCACGGTGGGAGAAAAGAAGCCAAAGCAACATAAATCAGTGAAAGGCTGGACAGCAAAGAGACTTGGAGACTGAAGAAAAGAGATCCAAAACTTCTGGCACTATGTATGAAAGACCAAACAGGGTGTTCTCTTTATCTTCATTTTGACAAAATAAAAGTGAACTGGAGACAGTTAATAAGTGTATCTCATGCAGCCCAGGTATTCCTGGGTTTAACTACTGAAAAAATATATAGCCTATTACAGACAGTTGAAAAAACTCCAAGAAAACCTTAACAAGTCATCCTCTGTAATTTACCACTGCTGCTTGTTTTTACAATACTCTTCAGAAGGCTACAATTGTTGCCTCAGACCAGTTTTAAGGGCACCATTTCATTAAATAACAGGAATAATGATAAGTTTATTCCAGTGCAAGCAAAAGGGCCCGTAGTAAGTCTACAGAGTCTTGTCTCTTCTGTATCAGCAAAGTGTATCCCAGTAACTTTAATGCTCTTTAAAGAACTGCTCTAAAAGCACTCCTTAGCATTAAAATCCTCAAAAACATTTCTTAAAATATGTTCCTTAATCTGTTGTTGTAAATCAGTAGGAATAACAATATTATTGACAAATTATCCCTGTGAGTGCTAATCTTTTTCATAAATACATCTGACTGTAAATTTGATAGTTATTTTTTATAAATCAGTGTGATAACCTGAAGAATATCTTAATACACGAAACAAAGCTCTGGATCTAAAGGACACTGTAGAACCCCTTCAACTTCACAGCACCAATATTATCCAGGACAGCTATATGACGTGTGACAGTGGGAAATAAAAACCCTTCCTCAGCGTGGTATTTGGTCTAAGCAATTTCTGTACATAACAAAATCCTTTTGATGTAGTGGCTCTAGAATTGTAATTTACAGATCACTAACTTTGGATGACAATGGTATGAGTTTTTACACAATTTGAGGGTTGTAATAAGCCAAGTATTACAGGTCACACTCCTAAATATGTAAAAGCAGAATGAAAGTGGAGAAGCCAAAAGCTGAGGATAAGTAACCTAAAGCCATAAGCTCTAAACTCCAAATAACAAAGTGAAAGCTTGTGTTTTCCACCAAGAAAACTACTTAATTGTTACCCATCCAGCTCTTTCAAATAAGTCTTCTGACCGTACTTAAAAACAGCATTAGAGACCAAAGCCAAAGTAAACCTGTATGTTTGCAGAAACACCCTCCCAACAATCAGGGGTTTTGGTATTATTTTGCTTTGTTGTGGGAGATTTTTATGTTGGTGTTGTTTGGGTTGAAGTTTGGGTTTTCTTTGCTTACTTGACAGCAGAAACAAGGAATAATCTGTCCTGTCCAATTTTGTCCAGAGACACAAAGTTTTCAAGCCATTTCAAATTTACACAAAAGATGAAGTGTGAGCAGATAATGAGTAGCAGCAAAGGTATTACCTACAGAACTACTGTGCAAACTAAAAATAGTATACTGAGATGTATAAACTGTTAGAAATAAAAGGATAATTCTATCTGAGGTCTAGTTGCAATTACAGTGCTAAAATACACAAGGTAAAAGAAGAAAATGTAATGCAAGTTCTCTTCTCCATAGCCTAAATTCAATGCTTTACTCCTCCTACTTTATGTAGAGTGTTGAAAGAGTGTAGAAGTGGAGGGACTTCTATAACCTTGGCTACTCTGCCTGGAGGCAATCCCCATTCTCTCCACATGGTTACTACAAACCTGGGGGAGGGTACAGAACATGTTTAGTGCAGAATGATTTCTTTGTAAAGGATCAAGCAAAAGAGTCCCAAATCTGTTTGGGGCCTTCCAGAGTAACAGCTGTAAGTGATATAACCCAGAAATCTGCTTGCCAAGTCCTGCAAACACAATCACCATAACATCTATGCACACGTGCTGTTAAAATTTCATCCCTGCAAGAATGCAGGAGCCCAGTGTCTTTGCAAAGCAGTGGTGTTTAAAAGTAACAACATGAGAAGAGCTTAAGATCAAAAGAAACGTCGTAAAATATGGAATGCAGGTCCAAGTTGAAGGCACAATTAAAAAAAAATAAATCCTTTCTTTAGGAAAGCACAAGTTCACACACCTAAAACTGAAAGCCTGTGTTTTTTATTGCATACCTTCTTTGCAGTTTATCTGCAAGTCTACAATCCCCAAACTCATAGCAGTTTTTTAATATATTCTCCTGTTAAATTATGTACCTTTGACATCTTCTGCAAGAGAGGAAAACTGTCAGAAGCTACTGTTATTACTCATTAAGATTGCAGCAAGAGAAGGAGAAAGCTCAAGTGCCAGTGGAAAGGCACCCGAAGTTAGTGTACACAGATGCTGGACAGAGAACTACTTAACCAAAGCTAGGATTATTTGCCTGTGCTATGTGTGATGTGCTGAAAATTTACCTGTTTTCTCTACTTAAATACTCTCCTCATCTTAAGGAATGAGAAATAACTACCTTGCCTCTGAAGAAATCAGAATGGAAGGCACGCCCATGAAAAGAATGGAATCCTCTACATGAAGATGTGTGTTCTGAAGTAAAAGTGGTCACAAAGATTAAGCTCTAGAGAAGGATAAATGTATTCCTGATCCAGAAACGGTTGTTTCTACCAAATTAGGAGCAGCAGTATGTTCTTCTACCCACCTCCACTGTTTAGAGCTAAACTGGACAGTAAACAGAGTAATGCCATTGTGAACTGCGGCCTATTGGAATATAAAGGCACCTACAGCAGCAGCCAAACAAAAACTTGTTTGGAGCATTTAAGACAAAAATTGTAGACAAGCTGATATTTCTGTATTGTGAACCCCTAGTTAAAAAAAAAAAGGTTTTCCCCCTTGTGAAATACCCAAATCAGTACTTTTGGTACACATACCTCGAAGAATTCTCTCCTCATGGCAACGTAGAAAGTCCCAGATTCTAACAGTGCCGTCGTCAGAGCATGTAGCAAATTTATTATCCGTGGGTGAGAAACTGTTACATGAAGACACACAGCAGGGGAAAGAAGTCAGCATTTAACAGATTACGCTTCTCAGACAGGGCAAAATTATACTGTTATGTGTTATACACTGAAGGAGGCATTTGAACATAGGCACTTTTAAGTGAATACAGTGCCTGCCAAACGACACTTCATCACAAGACATGAATTTAGCACAGGATTACTTATTGCATTGCAGTCCCCTGTCAAATGAGGAAAAAAAAAAATCTGTCATTTATTCTTAGCACCTTTCTATCTCTGACTGCCCACGGCAGTGCCTCCTCTGCAGGATGAGAAGCAACATCAATATGATTTGGTAACTGTCGCCCTACATTGTCATGTTTGGCAACACCGTAAGAAAGTGACACTGGGTAGAAGCAGAGATAACAGTTCTTAGGAAAGTAACTCCTCTTCAGCCACAGGTGCTTTGCAGCAGAGAAGCAAAAATAAGCGAAAGCTGGTCACAGGAAAATGCTACTTGGATTAACTGTTAAAAAAACTATATAAAACAAGCATACCACTTATTGTAAGAGCAATTTGGAAACACTCCCAGCCCACCAAAACCATGAAAAGAATCCTACAGACATATAAGCAGCTTCCAGATTCAGCAGTCAACATTGCTTGATGAAAGTCACTGGAAAAGCAAGGAGTTATTTAGCCATGTGAACAGGGCCAGAACATCTCCAGCAACTGACAGGCACTCTCACTTCTTTTCTGGTGCAGGGAAAGACCATGAGGGAGCCCCTTGTGAAATCCTAGATCTTTATGATCAAGCAAGGGCTTAAAGTAGTAGAGAAATTCAGTGTATGGCCATGACAGTCAGACAGTAACTGAATCCAAAGTCAGCACTTCTCACAACCAAACTCTGGCAGAAAATGCACCCTCATCCAAGAAAAATGGTGACTTTAATAGAAAGTGGGTTTGTGGCAGTGAACCTTTATCACCAGCACCTGAACCCATAGAAACAATGCTTTAGCTTCATTTTGAGTCTGCAGCTTCTCTTCAGGCTTACTTTAAAAACATTTCCATATCTTACTAAAGATTATATGCAGGTTTTTCTAGAAACATCCTTCATTTCCATCTTACTGATAGTATCACTTTAGCTTCCATTTTTATATAGACATTTGCACAACTGAGGCATCAACACTGAACCAAGAGAATATCCTACAGTCTTCTTTTCAATGGCTTTCTTACAGTTTCAAGCTTGAAGAACCCATTTAGTATTAACATTAGACTTCTGTATGTGGCAGTCTGCGTGGGTATTTAGTATTACTGGAAGTCCTGGCTTCACCAAGCCAAGCAGTTCTTCACTTTATTTAGTGTTTTATTATTTTGTGAGAACTATGCAGGTGTTTTATTTCTGAAGGCTTTATATTTTATTCAGTTAGATTATTAAAGACTGAATTCTTTATTTGGAATGAAATTGTTGTCTTACACAGTGCGTATAAAAAGGAATAACTGATACACATTGTCACCATATAAAAATGAAAAGAATACCAGTGCAAAATGCGGCAGACAAATACATCTCTAACATATTGCAGAGGCGGATATTGGGACAATACTAATTCAGAAAGGTGCCAGCAAAACGGTGAGAATGTGGAAACAAAAGGAAATATTGTGTTTATGTGGTGCATGAAGTCTCCCAGAATCTGACAGAACCCATGCATTTCTGCACCCAGAATACACTTAGAGAACAGTCTAATCATGGCAATAGGTACTACAGAAAATGGTATATTGTGTATAAACCTGGCCTCTCTAATCGCCTCCTTATGTGCCTGGAACATCTTGACGTTGTTCATGTTGGACTGCCAGTATTTCACATATCCCCCGTGGTCTGCTGTCAGCATCCACATATCATTGTGTGACCAAGTCATAGCCCTTACAGGGCTGTCGTGAGCCTGTAAATTCAGAAACAAAACTTCTAGCAAACACATTCAAATACCATCTGATCCACACAAACACCGAAGTTACTACAGTTCCTACTTAACAGCTGCAACGAGGAGATGAGAACAGTGATGATCTAATTACATTTAGGATGTTACAGGGTTACAGGGAGGGGAAAAATGCCTTACTCTGCATACAGTGGTCTTCTAAACAGTTACAGTATCTGAATTTTGTTTCCAATGTGTTTCTTTACTATTACAAATACTGTGTTCTTGAGAACACTTAGTACAACAGATGGAGATGGAATGAGAAGCACTACCTGAATTGCCTGTAGCCAGTCTGACATGGAGTCAGAGCAGAATAAAAGACCTCTAAGACTCCCACTACCACTCAGACCATAGACCCACAATGAGCAGAGTGAAGATGTGCTCCTAGAACACGCTCTAAGACCTCAAGGAAATACAGAAATTTTTATAGATTAATTTACCTGCAATATTGTTTCAAAATTGAAAGTCAGTCCATTCCATAAAGTGAACTCTCCACTAGATGCACCAGTGACCAAACGTCTCCCCTCAGGAGTCCACTGCAAAAGAAACATTTAACTAAACTGTGCAACATTCAAATATTTCTTGACAATTCTCCAAGTAAATCATGAGCTGTTTCAAGGAATCTGTGGAAAGAGAATTAACTAAATGACTTTCTAGAGGATGCAAGACAGACAAAAAAGCAGAACTGTGCCAGAGGGCCTTTTGATTTTTTTAACAGCAGGACAAAGCCCACTGTAAAAGTCATGAAAAAATCTAGAGAAGAAATGGTTTACTGGTACCAACATATTTCAAGAACCCAGTATCCATACTACACAATACTTCTCTTGAAATGTGATGGGAAAAGTGGAAATGCACCTCAAATCCACAGTAAGAACTCTCGTGTACTCAGACCCTACCATTTCTTTTCCTCAACCCTTCCACAGAAAGACTGGACACAGAAGTAGTCCATGCATTCCACATGCTAGTTTTATTTGAGGATGCTTTAACTACCATCTTGTTTCTTTATTCAGTTAAGAATCAGTGTAATTTAAATTAAGACAATACAACTAAGTAATTCCAACACTGTACTCACCCTGACAACAAACACTGGGCATTTTACTTTATTAGTAGATGTTCTAACAAACTTTGTCGTCACAGCATTCATAGGGTTGTTTAGCATTCCTATAGGAGGGACCAGCTGTAAGAGAAGAAACAAAAGATTTAATAATGACATTTTAAATCAGAAACTTCAAGAAAAGCACATGTTCTGAGTACCCATTTCTGGAAAAGTAAGATTGTCATTTGCAGGGATATTATCAGAAATAAATCCATAGAAGTGTTTCAAAGTCTGCATGATTTACCAACTTAAACATTCAGAACCAGTATCTTCAAGAGCAGTTTTGCAACCTCAGTGCATTATAGGAATTCTGACCAGAAATAAAAAGCCTCTACGTGGATTCCAATGGAAAATAATGTAGAGTGAAGCCACCCTTCATAACTTTAAGGCTTCTTGCAGACACAATGATAACCTCAGCTCACAGGCAGAATCCTTTCCATTTTCTGGACAAGTCTTATCTGAAGAACTTCACCAGTGAATAAGACAATTCCACTTACATCATTATAATATCCTGCATCAGGCTGGATTGCTCGCATATCTCGCTGGTCTCTCTGCCATACTCTATTCTGGAAAGAAGAAAACAACTCCTTGTTTATATCAGTGTACTCCATTTAAATAACAAAAAACAAGAAACACATTGAGAGCCTGTTTGGCAAACTCCAAAGCACTCCAAGGATTTTAGAATTAACTCCATCAAGACTTTGGACTCAGAAAAACCTGCAGAATTTGTGTGGTGTAAGCAAAGGAGTCAGGAATGTTTGAAGTGCTGCACGTTACTGTGACACAGGTGAGTGGTACTGCCCAAGCTCACAGGTACTCCCAAAGAGGCACCTTCAATCCTTTCCAAGCTTTATGTTCAGGGTAAGGATTTACACCAGTAGTAGCTGTGCTGATGAACTCCTCATGAAATCCCATAGAGCAACACGAGCTAGAGAGGGACCTGCTGCAGCTCAAGCATAGACAACACATTCAAATGGTTGAAACTGAGAAGACGTGGGGATAACAGTGCCTTCAATTAGTTAAATATTGGGAGCTGTCAAACACAACCTTTTCAAAAACACTTCTCATGAATTAAGAATGAAATTAATTATTTCAGCTTTGTGCCCCAGACTCTACCAATTTGGATTTGTGTGCATATTGGAAACTCAAGTCACAATTCTAGGTAAAACATTCCCAGCATACGCTACTACAGTTCGCTACAATTTCTTAAGACAAGAGCAAATTACATGTTAACTATTTTTCTTGGGTTTTTTGATAAAAATACATTAAATCGGTAGTACTGAAGTCTGGATTGAAATGGAATTCTAGTATATCCTAATTTTGTGTAAGCATCCAAGACATACAGAAATTTGATATTTTCTTTGTTATTACTTTAATAAACAGAATTTTAATAAACAGTTTTTTTCTGCACAGTAAAAAGGTCCTGAACTTCTAAAATTATTTTTTTACAAAGTCCCCTACTAATAGAATCTCTTTTGGCACATTCCTAAAACATGAGAATATGTTTAAAATGGTGGGTGTTCAAACAGATCTTAGAAGGTAACAGATTAAGTTAATAAGAAAACCTTCCAACTGTTAACACCTACAAACTATAATCATGCACTGGACATAGCAGATGGAATTACTTTCATCACGTTTTTGCAATATTGCTGTTGCAGCTGCAACAATTCCAGTATTTACAGATTTCATTCTCTCTCTTCTAGGCTAACACCCAGTACTTGTGGAATAAATCTTGGATCAGAAAATTTTATTTTTTAAGGAATTAATGCCACCCTATTAGGACACCTAAACAAGCATTTTTACAGAAACAATTTTTCAACTAAACTTCATTTAAGTTTTTCCGTATTTATCAACTGTACAGAAATGGACCTTCAGAGACCACCACAGTGCAAGCTGAAGTGCCATTTAGCAAAATGGTGAGAAAACATCTTTTAGTACCCTGGTTTTGAAGAGGAAGGGGTAATGGTTCCTCTTCCATTTTGAGAAATTTCTATTTCAAAACAAAAATTAGAACAACTACGTTATTTACAATGAGTTTTTATGATCACTGAAAAGTCAGAATATCATCCAAGACACTCAACTGCACTCCAACTTCTAATTCCAAGACAGAATGTAAAAGTTGGCATTTATACAAACCACAAAATTAGCTGCACATGCAGTTTTATCCAAAAACCAACCTCCCCTATTTATTCATAATATACCAAATTTACAAGCTCGTGTCATTTCGGTCGAAAATGCAGCAGCAGATCTCCTGTTATTCCAGCCTGCTTTACGGACACCGAGAAGCACAGTCACGTTTCAGGAAGTCAAAAAGGTTTACGGGCAAAAACAAAACAAAACAAAACAATCTGCTAATTAACTGACCTCCAGATATTTAATGACAGAGGGATTGTAGTCTATGGTCTTTCTGTTGACAGCTTTCCTCATGCGCTTCCCATCGAAGGTGAGCTGCTGCATCGCCTGCTGCTGCGCGAAGTCCGGCCGCTTGTAGAAGAGCTGCCGAGGCGCCTGGTGCTGGAACCTCGGCATGTGGAAGAACCGCGGCGGGGACCCGATTTCCGTGGCCATGGCTCCCTCGCCTCCCAGAACTGCTGCAAGTGAAACACAGGGTTACCACACAGTTATAGGATCTCCCCTAATTTAAGTTTACAAGGCTTCATAAAGCGCTGCTTCTCCGCAAAAAAAACAGCTGCAGGATTCTCTGAAGAATTATTTTTCTTCCCCTGTGCCATGTAATGCCAACGTTAAAGCAGGGAAGTACCTTTTTTCTCTATCAAGAGATATTGAAACACATCAGTAGTAACTTGGCATTACCATCCCTAAACTAAAAATGTGCAGGAAGAGAACATCCTCACTGAAACAGCATAAATAAATGCAAGAAACGGTAAGAGCCTTCAACAGATAATATTTCAGATTCAATATAAAAAACAGGAAACACCACATTAGTTACAAATTCATTTAACTGTTGGCAAGGCAAAAAGTTTTCAAGGACTGACTCAACATCTTTTTCTAGAACCTAAAAACAAAATTATATTCCCTCTACATAACTTCTTGTAAATGGACCACAAATTTCATTCTACCCAGATGTATATTTTCAATTCCATTATTGCAAAATAAATTAATTACATCTTGATCAAGGTTTGATAAATGTAATTGATCATCATTTCCCCCACAACAAAATTCACTGAGAATGTTAAGGAAGTGGAGAGGCAGGGAAAAAATTCCAATATTCAGAATTTTTCTGATGGAGGGAAATGAGTGTAAAACCTAATTTTTCATTATATAAGGATTTCATAGACTGAGTTCATGGCAACCTCTTTAGAGCCGAAAACTAAAATATACACAGTCTTTAAAGTATATACTGATTTCAGACTAAGTAGTGACACACATTGAAGCAACAGAAGCTCAAACTTCATTTTGAATGTATTCTCCCCTACATCCTAAAATCAGTTTGAAAAATGTTTTAAACCAAAATAAACTGGCACTGTCATCAAGGGAATGCAAAAAGGCTGAGAAATTCACCTTTGCACAAAGGCTTAAGTGTTTACGCAGAAGCAAAATGCACTTAATAAAAAGAAAGGAAGTACAATAGCAGATTTCTTTTTAAAAAAATGGCATAACCTTTAAAAGCAGTGCATAGTTTGATTCCTTTCAAGAGGTTCTTTTTAACTACAAGGAGCAGGCTGCCCTTTAAATAAACCTCAGGCAGTTTGTTGGGCACAGGGCAGGAATTAGTTTGGCAAACTTGGGAGCTCACACTCCTTTCCACTGCTAACAAAGGGTGATGAGCCAGCTACGAACCAAGCCACCCACAACACCTGGCTGGCTGCTGGCTACACAGGCAGCTTCCACAGACAAGGGGAAAACCAAACTATAGCCATTACAACTCCTCTCCATTCAAGATAAACAGGTCCAAGCTGAAACAGCAGGTTTCCTTAAATTAGGAAACGTAACCCCTTGGGCAGGCAGAGCATCTCATGAGACCAAAGTGGTAACTGGGAGGAGAGGAGGAGAGAGAGAGATCCCAGCTGACAAAAAATAAACCTTTATCCTGTGGCTGAAAGGCTCATTTGCCTGGAAGCTCCAATACCAGGTTGTCTAATCAGACACCACATCTGCCCCCACACACTCCCACTCCAGGGCACAACTCTAACACAGGTACTACACTATTAAGCTTGCCTGGAGCAAGAAAAAGGTATCCAAACCTTCTCATGAAGGAATTACATCAAGTGCCCCCAACACTACAACTTACAATTCTTTTACAACCTGGCAGAAGGTATCAAACTGTTGAACAGAAAGTTTCAAGCGTTAAAACTCAAAGGTAAAATTAAAAGGGTAGTAGGGGGTTTATATCAAAAAAGAAAAAGTGGTTTCTTCAAACGAATAGAACAAGCTGGCATTAAACATGCAGCATGCAAGTTTTCAAGCACTACTCTCCCTCAAGTCTGAGGACACTTCCTTATACCAATCATCACTTCAAACCAGAGGAAAAAAGGTATTTTTTCAAAACCACATATCCGTGCTCTCTTATAGGCAATGTAAAAAACAATGTAAAAAATAAAGTTCAAGCACTGAGACCAAGAATGCAGACAAAGCTGTATGCTGGGCCTTCCAAAAACACTTTGATCAGATGTATTTGCAAGAAAACATTACATAAAAATCCCTATTTAGGGAAATATCGCAAAGCAAAGTGTTAATACTTTATTCTCATTTTCCAGAAAAATCTCCTCAAGAAAGTTTCTGCATTACCATCATTGGTAAATAAAGCATTAGCTGTCATGTGAGTCAATTTAGACTGGAGACACCTAAAACTACTGCAAGCAGTGTCTATCTTAAATTAGCATAAACAACATGGATTTAACATGTAATCCACATCAGCAAAAATCATTGTTTAAAATGTGACCAAGCACATAAAAATGATAATTACACCTCCTCATGCCTACCGATCCTTCCACATCCAGGATTATGACAAGTTAAGTGGCATCACAATTACAACAACACAACAAGGGAGATGACACAGGATTAGGAAAATGAAGCATTTATATTCCGTTCTTTCAACTTTTGAGATCACTGCCTCTATCACAAAAAGCCTTTTACCTGCAGTTATGAACTCTGCAAAAAGTTGTTTACCCAGCTGCTCAGAACCACTTTCTTCTAATTGCCTCAAATGTTCTGCTTTTATCCACATAACATCCTCATCATGTCACGTTTGCATCTAACACAGATGTCATCTGTGAATAAAGGGTGTGTGCACAGACAGGTGAGTGTATAGACACACCAAGTGAAGGTTCTAAACAAAGCAGCTTTAGAAATGAAGGGGTTTGGTACAGAATCAGTTATCAATTAAAATTGGAGCGTTTTTTCCAAATACCTCTACTCCAGCCAGAGCAATATACCCCATTTAAGTTACCAGTATCATATTTGGTCTTTTGTTGGGACAGATCAGTGCCTCAACAGGCTCTTCTTAAGATCTTTTTTATCAACTACATGTCAGAATTCAGCATGTCTATTAGCTAAAGCTCCTCTGGTATTGGCAGTGAGAGGAGAAACATGCAAACAGATATTATAGGACACTGTAATCCAGTGCAGTAACATCCACTTTCCTACTTTAAGCAAAGTGCCAAACTTTATTTTAGAGTCCATCAACAGGATTTAAGTAGAAGAATCATTTTTTCCTTAATATACACAATTAGAAGCAACAGCAAGACTTTTTCCAACATCAGGCACAGATCAGCTCTTATTTTGTTGATTCTGGACAGTAATGTTGCCAATTAATTGCTATTTTCTTCTCGTTTATTATACTCTCATCACAATTTGAACTGTGAAGTTAATTTTTGTACACCATTTTTCCACACATCCTTATCAGTTTCCCCCTTCCTGTTCCCACAAATACCCCTTTCAAAGTTGACCAGTTTTCACACCTTTTGAAGCATCAATGTACGTGGGGATATACAGAGAATATTTAACTAATTCACTGAGCAAATACAGGGCCACCCAGTAACACTGCAAGGTATGTAACTGGGCCTGCTCTTCAGATAAGATGACAAAAGAAAGCTGGGGAAATGCTATCAAAATGGGAATAAATGAAAGCATATCTGACATGAAATTGAAAGTAGAATTAGCACGAGATGACCAAAACCATCCCAAACACAACTTAAAAGAAGCACACAGTAAGAGTAGGAGAAACTACAGAAGCAAAACCATGAGGAGCAAAGCCAGTTAAGAGCAAATGAGAAACCTGACAAATAAGACAGAGGCAAAAGGAAAAACAAATAAAAGACAATATGGTTCAGGGAGAATTAGGCAGATGAAAGTGGACAACAGAACTAAAGCAGCTTGTGACAGCACCTAAAATGTTCACCCTGTTCCTTAACTGTCAACAACTACATCTGCAGCATAGTAAGCCCTTCATTTCTCTCTAGTAGTGCCACAAAAACAGCAGGTTCACTAATGCTGTCGAGTAATTGGAGGGACACTGCTGGAGAACAGAGTTAAAAATGGAAAAAACTGACAATGACCTCATACCCAGGGCAGCAGGGTGTCAAGACAGAATGATTTGGGGAGTTTCTTTGCTTTTTTAAAACAAGCAAAAAGTCTCATACAGTATTAGTCCACTACAGAAAATGGTTACCATCTAAGTCATGTACTCAAATAAGGCTACAAGGATAATACTGGCATTCAGTGTAGTAGCACTGTTACTTCATCATCCTATTTTGGGTATGGTTTTTCTTTTAATGTCAAAATGAATCTTGCATTAAGTTTGGAAAATTAATTGACAGATTTCAACTTGAGCCATGAAACCAAAGCAATTCACACATAACTTCACTAAATCAAAATAAAACAAATTAGGTTGCTTAAATCAAAATAAACCCACCAAACTAGTAGAGCTTAGAGAAAAAGAGTCATGGTTTATATTAAATACATCACTACTTACAGACAGTTCAATACTACATGAAAAATATGTGATTTATGTATAGTCTTGGCATATTCCATATGATTTACACAGAAAGTAAAGCTCATCATTAATGAAGTGCAGTAACTGGTAGCTAAAGTATCCTTGCCTATTTAGAAGTTATTTTTAATTGAAGGGAAAGACACTTGGGTGGAATACAGCAGGTAATAACTTGAACACATCAGAAGAAAAGTGTGCTCTCAGAGGTAGCACAGAAGGTTGTTCTGTGAAGGGCAAGGTACTTTGCTGGCCACTAAACACAACATGCTTAAGCTGAAGCTTAAAAGACACTGCTGCTTTAGCCATTCCAAGAGAAAGGAAAACAAGTGCTAAAAACTTCCTGAGTGTACCTGTGAACTACTTTAAATGTGTATTAGACAGTTCCACTACAAAGTACACGTGGTCTCTAAAGCACTTCTACAGTGTAAGAGAAACAGTGAAAACTAACAATTATTTGCACTGGAACAGCACACAGGATTCAAAACATGGTTCAGTAAAAACACATGAGTAGAGAAGAACAGAAGAGTAGAGAAGAACCATCTCAGCTTCCTGAGGCATAAGTATAAGATAAGAACATCACAATGCAAAAGAAGCTTAACAAGTTTTATTTCTCAGTACATCAGTAGTAGATGCCATCAT